GCTGAATTAAAGCGGAGTTCCATTCACCCTGTCAAAAAATAAAAGTCAGCAGCTACAAAAACTGTAGCTGCTGACTTTTAAAAAACAGCCACTGTGTGTCCCCCGCAGCCCGTTTCACAGGCCATCCTGTGTGTGTCGGTGTGTCCCCCGCAGCCCGTTTCACCGGCCGTCCTGTAATCCAGGAGGCTGGCATCTTCAGTGTGGGCCCCCGGCTGTGATAGCTTGCGGATTCACAGCCGAGTACCCACTGCGCATGTGCGAGTAGCGCTGCGCTTCATGAATGATCCTGTAGTCTTCTGGGACCTGTCACGTGTCCCAAATGACTACAGGGAGGGAGAGAGGGAGGACACCTTCCGATTCCAATCGCCTAGGCGATAGGACTGGAAGTGGGAGCGGGTACCTGTCAAACCCGCTCCCCCCCGCCCCCCCCCCCCCCCCCCAAAGGTGCCAATCCTTAATGGGGAGCAGTCATTAAAGCGGAACTTCCCCTTTTGGGTGGAGCTCCGCTTTAAGCCACATTTGTGAGTACAACACTCAGAGGATGGAGAAACAGGGGTGGTGGGATTTCCAAGAGAAGACAGATATTTCTTTTCATTTCACAGGTATTCTGGAAAGTGATTTTTGTTTTTCAACATCTGTTGATATCTCTTTACAAATGTTGTGTTTAATTCTTACAATGCAGTTCTTTTACAAGAATTTTTTTCCTTTCTTGATTTGTTTCTCTATTATGTAATTTTCACTGCTTCTTTTGTCATCCACCTCAATTTCTAGTTTTTTATTTTGGGTCAGGTTTTTTGAGTTTGACCAGTTTCACATGGGCTTTAGCTTGTATAAGAGCAGTGTGAACAGCAAGCTTTAAAAAAGCATTTACAGAGCTTTCAGTAAGCTTTGCTAAGGCTTTTAAAGTGCCCTTCAACTCTAGTTTGTACATTTTTTACACAGATCCTAATGGGAGTGCTTATTGCCACTTTTAACAAGCTGCTAGCAGGCTATTTGAAGCTTGCTGAAAGCCTGCTAGCAGTTTGTTAAAGTGACAATCATGACTCCCATTGAGATCTATGTATAACATTTCCAAACAGGAGCTGAAATGCACTTTAAAGGCTTAGAGAATTCTCCTCGAAGCTTTATGAAAGCTTTGCTAAAGCCTGCTGTTCACACTGCTCTTATAAAAGCTGAAGCCTGTGTGAAACTGGTATTACACTTGGTGGTCCCTTTGAATTCCATCTACAGTTCATCCGGATTTCTGTCCATTGGTTTAACATCTCAAATCTGTTGTTTAAATCAAATGTTCACTTTAAAAATACCAGGTATTTTCTCCAGGTTGTGTTTTAGAAGAATAATATTTTTGTTGTCTTTTCATTTTACCTTGAAGACATGAAGTTGCTACATTATTATTATTATTTTTTATTATACAGTATTTATAAAGCGCCAATAGTTCGCTCAGCGCTGTACATTACAAAGGGGGACAGAACATGTGACAGAACAATACCAATACAATGCAAAACATGAGGGGATCGAGGGCCCTGCTCTTTCGAGCTTACAATCTAGGAGGGAGGGGGGTGGTGGTGGCACAGGAGGAGATAGCTGTGGGGGATGGAGTGGTAGGAAGAGTGGAGGAGGTCGGCAAGTTAGCAGGGGGTGGGGTAGGCTTCCCTGAAGAGATGGGTTTTCAGGGTGCGCCTAAAGGAGAGGAGAGTAGGTGATAATCTGATGGGTTGGGGCAGGGAGTTCCAGAGGATGGGTGACACCCTGGAGAAGTCCTGGAGGCGGGCATGGGAGGAGGAGACCAGGGAACTAGAGTTAACAATTTAGGATGTGTTTTACAAGCTGCTCCAGATGTCCAGGAGGATGGGGGCGCATTGTGTACAGGGGAGACAATGTATACAATGAATAACAAATAAAACTAGTGAACTGCCTACAATCTTATTCAGGTCAAAAACTAGCAATCACCCTTAGACCAAATAAATACCATAAAACAAGAGGCTGCTGCCGATACAGTGTTTACAGCACAGTGCACAAAATATCAACTTATAATGTGTATAAATAAAAAAATGTGAAATCTTGTGAGTTGCTATGTGAGTGAAAAACCTACTGAAGTGCTAATGGTGAATCGCCTGCAGCTAACACATACTCATACTGGTGTGCTAAAACAATATTATATACCACAATGTGCCGCGCTTCACTTGAAACTATAATTATACATAAGTTGCCATTACTTATGTTGCATATCAAAAATATAAACAATATTGTGAAATATGAAAAAATAAGAGTGAAATGGTAAACAGCAGTGTCAATGTCCATATGATTAACAAAAATGTCCATGTATGAAATTTTTTCAGACTTGCATAGTTCACTTTAAAATGCAGTAACTCATGCTTCCAAAATAAAATATGTGCGGAAAAGCTTGCATGGACGTGCCTCCCCACCGGTTGTGCTCTCACTTCAGGTATATGACCAAACTGTTAAGTGAGGTCATATAATGCTTGTGTCCCTTTAAATGGGCCAGAGTATGAATGAGATGATATCCTGCTGTTTGGGGTCCTTCTCCACTCAAACGATATTCTTCCCTTCCATGGTGGTTAATATAGAGGAATGAATCAAATCATAGTGTATTATCCTTTAAAAAACTGCTTTGTTCACAAAATGTGTCCTCCAGAACTTTTCCTATGGTGAAACACCTAAAATTGCCAGCTGGTGTCAGTATGGTACGTTCGAGCGCATGACCTCAAACCTTCCTTTCCTTATGCGTTACACCACACCCCACATGGCTTCATCTGAGGATCCTCTGATGAAGCCACGTGGGGCGTGACGCAACATGCAAAGGAAAGGAAGGATTAGGTGAGTGACAGTATCTGATGTCGGATGACGGCGGAGGGAATATCTACAGGCTTGCCATATGTTCTGACTAGTAATCACTGGCTGAATGTAAATGCATTAATTGAATGTTTTAATAAATTTTATATAATATTTTAATCAAACTATACTATGTTGGGCATCCTATAATTTGAGCATTCAGATTCTCTGGCTGGTAAACAATCTAATGACCGGGGAGGTGAGCAGGAGAAGCAGGTGGTTTGGGAGCATTGAAGAGATCTGAGCAAAGCACTACTAGACCAGTGTGGTCTTCCCTTAAGTCGAGAGGCCACCCAAGATCACAAACTGGTGGTTAAACGGCTGTAGATATTCACAGCACGGGGGCTCCTTTGGATGTGTTCGGTGCACATGAGAATTATGAAGTGTTTATATAAATTGCACTGTGTGAATTGATCAACAATACATGGACTTGCATGAACTCTTTGTTATTCCATTCTTAATTTTCATAATTTATTTGCACTTTTCAATATCACTCTCTATTTGTTTCACCTTATTGATAATATTCATTATCTCTGATGGTGTGGGATAAAATCATTTTTATTTGTTGGTTTTTGCACATTATGTTTTGTTCACATGCTTGTGGTATTGCATGAGATGATTTGCTGAGGATTTACTACACAGGTGTGTTTTAGTTTGATTGAGAGCTTTAGGGGCAGCACTACACATTATAAGTTAGTGTATACAAGGAGTTGGCAATGTGTACTGGGAGCAATGTTTATGGTGGGGGAGAGAGGTAATATAGGCAGGGAAAGGAGGGGGTAGTGTATGCAGCATAAAATGGGGGCAGTGTGAGCAGGGGAAAGGATGAGCAACATGTGTATAGGAAAAATGTGCATGGGAAAAAGGAAGCAGTGTTTACAGTTTATTTGGGCTATTTCCCAGGTGCCTATTTGTTTTTTCTAATCAGACTCTATTAAGCCATGCCCAATATTCAGCAACATTTAGCCTTACACATTTTTTGCCACTGAGCACTATGCATGCTGCAGGTCCCCATTTATCTAAAGTGTCCCATATTCTCAAGTTCTAAAGTGAGAAGGTATGAATGTGGTGCCTGTATTTGAAGAGGGATCATCCAATAGCTATAGAATATAAGTTTAACTTCTACAGTGGAGAACATACTTGAGTGTTTAATAAATAACAACATAGAAGAGTTTCTGTCTGAAAACAAAATTATTGGCAGCTAGTATAGGTTCCCAGAAGACTGTAGTGGAATAAAGTCCCTGCAAAATGTCTCAGACTTCCAGCAAATAATGACTGTGAATCACTGTTGTGATAGATCAAGGAATGTCCACCCTAGTCTGATGTTGGAGCTATGCTTGTTTTGCCTATGGCAAAATGTTTGGATAGTTCTTCCAACATACTGGAACCCGCAAGGACATCTGAGCACATAAATTGGGATGACCATTTAAAAAAAAGTGCAAGTGCTGGTGGCAACAACACTATTAGTTCTTTTGACAAAAGATTGACAAGCCAAGCACATAGACACTCCACACTCCACACTGAAAGCATCCACACTGAAAGTAACAGTATCAATTAGTGGTTTATGGAATAATTGAAATTGTTTATTCTATTATTTGGATTCTAACATTTGTTTGAGGTTCTTGTATATTAGTTTATTTAAAGTGCATGTTACCCCATCATATTTCTGATATGTGTATGTTGTACCATGTACTTGTGTTAAAAAAAAGTATTCTGTTCTCTTTGTATTTTTTTCTTTGGTGTGAAATTCCTGGTAATCCTGCCATTCCCCCTGCTTTTGTATTTCAAACTGACCATGATAGGAATGGAAGCACATCCATCCCAGCATGGTCAGTTTTTTGGCTGTGCTGAGAGCACAACCTGCCTGTCCTCCAATGGCCAAGACTTCTGCTGACATGCTCCCTCTGCTCTTCCTCTGCTTCCTGCTGACACCCCCCCCCCTGCAGTCTCCACCCAGCAGCTGATTATGGAGCTGATCAAGTCCAAAAATGTATAAAAAAGGTGTTTATATTGTGTGTGTGTGTGTGTATATATATATATATATATATTTATATATTGGCAAAAGTTTTGGGACACCCCTCCAAATCATTGGATTCAGGTGTTCGAATCACCTCCATGGCCACAGGTATTAAATCAAGCACTTAGGCATGCAGACTGCTTCTACAAACATTTGTGAAAGAATGAGTCGCTTTCAGGAGCTCAGTGAATTCATGCATTGTACCATGATAGGTTTGCACCTGTGCAATAAGTCCATCTGTGAAATGTTCTTGGTACTAAATATTCCACGGTCAACTGTTAGTGGTATTATAACAGAGTGTAAGCAACTGGGAACAACGGCAACTCAGCCAAAAAGTGTTAGGACATGTAAAATGACACAGCGGGGTCAGTGCATGCTGAAGCACAGTGCACAGAAGTCACCAACTGTCTGCAGAGTCAATAGCTAAAGACCTGCAAACTTCGTGTGGCCTTCAGATTAGCACAACAACAGGGCATAGAGAGCTTCATGGAATGGGTGTCCATGGCCAAACAGCTGCAACCAAGCCTTACATCACCAAGTGCAATGTAAAGTGTCGGATGCAGTGGTGTAAAGTACACTGCCACTGGACTAGACCAGTGGAGACATGTTATCTGGAGTGACAAATCATGCTTATCTGTCTGGCAGTCTGTTTGGCGGTTGCCAGCAGAACGGTACGTGCCTGACTGCATTATTCAAAGTGTAAAGTTTGGTGGAGGGGGGATTATGGTGTGGGGTTGTTTTTCAGGGGTTCGGCTTGGCCCCTTAGTTCCAGTGAGGGGAACTCTTAAGGTGTCAACATACTAAGACATTTTGGACAATTTCAGGTTCCCAACTTTGTGGGAACAGTTTGGGGATGGCCCCTTACTGTTCCAACATGACTGCACACCAGTGCACAAAGCAAGGTCCATAGAGACATGGATGAGTAAATTTGGGGTGGAGGAACTTGACTGTCCTCCACAGAGCCCTGACCTCAACCCAATAGAACACCTTTGAGATGAATTAGAGCAGAGACTGCGAGCTAGGCCTTCTAATCCAACATCAGTACCTGCCTTCACAAATGCGCTTCTGAAAGAATGGTCAAACATTCCCAAAGACACACTCCTAAACCTTGTGGACAGCCTTCCCAGAAAAACTGAAGCTGTTATAGCTGCAAAGGGTGGGTCAACTCAATATTGAACCCTTCGGACTAAGAATGGGATGCCATTAAAGTTCATGTGCGTATAAAGGCAGGCACTTTTGGTAATATAGTGTATATTTCCATTGCATTTCTGTTTTAATGTAAATGTGTTGTTTTACAAGGTGAGGGTTCACAGACACTTTAATGTTATCCTATTTATTAATGGGTTAATCACTCCATGTGCAATTACATCTTATTATTGGAGGACAGCTACAGCCAGCCTTGTTTCATACAGGCTCCACAGTTGCTCCACAGTTGCAACTATGCACATCTACTTGTATATCCAGCCGCAGGTACCTCCTGGATTCTTGTTGCAGCTGGCATATTTTTACTGTGTGATTGACGTGTAAGACTTTGATGTTTAAATTATCCATTTCCATCTCTGCTTTGTCTAGTCTACCTTGGTTCATAAGAGAAATACGGTATATACTATGTGTGTGTATATTACATATACTATAATATATAAACATTTAGCATATACGCACTCCTCTCCCATAGCATGCTCTCCATCTTTTGTCTCCCGTAGCATGTCTGCCATCTGTGGCTGTCTCCCGTCTCTGTGTATCTGTAGACTGTTTTTTTTAATTTATTTATTTCAGTTTATTTTTTATGTTTTATATTTATAATATGTTCTGTATTTCTACACAGTTGTTTCACCCTTTTTTTCACTGTTTTACCCAGATGTGAAAAATATTCTATATGGGACTTTGAAAATTTTTGTTACAGTGCCCTTCATTTGCTTACAAAGCAACTTGTCTTGTTATGAATAATGGAAAACTACTCATGCTACCAGGACTTTTCAAAACAAGCTGTTATGATAGTTTAATTAAATAAGATATATGATACTTGGTGATATTCATTTAAATTGACAAAAAAGAAAATGTATGCTATTTGTCCATGTAAATAACATGGCTCCTTGGACAGTAAACTGTTATCTGAATTTTACAGGCTGTTAAAACTCTTAGTTCCACTCTTTGCCTACAGGGGAATATCATGTCTAACCACAAGCCTCTTGTTACTCATTCAAAGCTATTACTAATTACTTGCTAGGGGCCATCTCAGTATTTTATTTATCCTGCAAAAACATTTGAAATTCTAATCCTATACAGTATAAAGTAACTTTGCTTACAAGGATTAATATGTGATTGCTTTTTAAACGCCTAAACAGAATAATAATATGATGCACATTTTTAACTGTATGAGTTTATATCAAATTCAGCTACGTCACAGTATTTTACCGAAAATTATTTATGTAATGAAATCCAAATTTTTAGGAGACAGAGGTCACAAGGGAACGCAGCCCTTAAAATACGTATGGGGCTACCTCTTCATTTTATAACAACAAAAAAAAGAAAGTAATTATGTAATTGAATATTACCAGCATCAAAAAAAAATTTCACTTAGACTCCCCCCCCCGCCACTTCCTTCTGCATGGTCTAGTTTTAAGTAAACTAAGCCTATAACACCTGAACATTTCTAACTTACATTCAGATTAGTTCTCCTCAACATATTGGAAGTATTGATTAGTAGGCATTTTATCTTGACATATTGTTTCTATAAAAAGTATTTGCTGCCTTGAAAGATTTCAGTTTTTATTGTTATAGAACATTGAATCACAGTTGATTCAATTGTATTTTGTTTTCATACAAAAAATAAAGAGGCTGCTTAAACAATACATAGCGCAGAACACCAGTAAAGAACCCTGCTGTAAGTGGGTGATGCATCCAATGATCAATATGTCAAAAAGATAAAAAAAATAAACAATGAATAACACCCAATTTCTGAATATGTGTTACAACACACACTCTTAAAGGCCATTGGCATGGGTAGCTCAAAGTGCGAATTAATAAATAACTGTTCTAGCTATGGGGCTGCTGCTGTGTAACCAGATGGGTTTCTCGTAATTCAGCAGCTGTGAAAAAACAAAGGAGAAACACACAAGGCAAACCCCAAGTGTAGCATTAAAGTCATAAGTGGTTTATTAAATGGTTAAAAATGCACTTACAAAAGAAGCAACTGCTGAATGTTTTTCAGACTGGGTTGCTGCAGGGATGGTAGGAGCTGCTAACGCTGGTCTGCAGGAGAAGCCAATGCTGGTGCTCATACCCAGAAGTAAGGACTGCCCGACCTCACTTGGTTTAGCACATGCGCATTGCACAGGAATGCGTTACGAAGTTTCTTCTTTGTCAGCTTGTGCTTGTGTGTTTCTCCTTTTGTCTTTTCATAATTTTATTTTGATGCTGCTTAACACAAATAGACTTTGATGTGAAAGGAAGAAAACATAAAATGACCAAAGTTTAAATGCCCTAAAGTCAGTATTTAGTAGATGAGCGTTTGCCAGTATTTAAAGCCTTGAGTATATGTTGATAAGTGTCTATCAGCTTTGCATCCAACTTCTCCAGCTTTATATTTGGGTTCACTGCCTTGCTGGAAAACAAATTCATAGGCATCTTGCAGACTGCATATGATTTCCTCCAAGATGCCTCCCCCCTTTTTTTTACCCTATTCATTCTACCCTCTACTTTCACAAGCCTTTCTGGACCTTTTGCAGAAACGTATCCCCGTGACCTTCTTACACTAGCATGGTTATCCCAAACATGACATTGAGGCTTTGTTTAAACTTGTGGTATTGGTGGGATGTGGACGGCAAAGATGCACAGTTGAGCCACGTTTTTGCCGCCCTCCCCTTTTAAGATGCAATTGTACATGGATGTTTACATGTTGCAGCCACAATGCTTTGCTTTATGCCCGTGGTAAAGTTTAACTGGCATGTAGCAATTAGTGGGTGGTAAACCTACTGAATGCAACTCATTTAAGTAAATAGGGAAGCACTGCAATGTGTGCAATGCATGCGGTTGCTGTGCGATTGTCTGCTAAATGGGGTTGGTGGTGGTGGGGTGGTGAGGAGGCATTTCATCACTTTCTCACCACCTGTCCGTTGCCTCTGGAACGTGGATCAGGCTTCAGATGCAAGGGAGAATCGGATGCATGCCTGAATTCACCCTTAGTTTGATGGTCAAAAAGCTCAATTTGTGCTCCCATCAGATCACAGAACATGGACTTCACAGTCTCCTATATGCCTTCTGGTAATCTGTAGGTGAAATGTCATATAGGCTTTAGTCAGCAATGGCTTTCTTTTGCCATTGCCCCATAAAAAGCTGCAACTGAAGCATTTGGATATCAGTTAGTTGCATAATGTCTCCAATCTCAGCCACTTACACTTGTAACTCCTTCAGAGTTGACATACTGTAGGTATTGGCTCCTTCACTAGTCTCCTCCTTGCATGGTCACTCACTTATGACAGACAGCCTATTTTTGTCAAGTTTAGAGCTGTGTCATACTATTTCTTCTTCCTATTGCTTTTGAACCAACTTTTCTTGAAGCTGCTTGGAGTGTTCTTCTGTTTTCATGCTGTGGGTTTTGCAAGTGCTCCAACTCACCAGATGTTGGACTTGTCAGATACATTAGTGTTTATATAAAAACTAATTAACGCAGGGGTGGGCAAACTACGGACCACCAGCTGTTGTGGAACTATATGTCCCATAAGGCATTACAAGACAGACAGTTACAAGCATGACTCCTAGAGGCACAGGCATGATGGGACTTCTAGTTCCTCAACAGATGGAGGGCTGCAGTTTGCCCACCCCTGAATGAAAGTCCCTTGACTAAAGATAAGTGATCTCTATTTAATTAAGTTTGTGACTTTTGAAAAAAAAAAAAACCTCACCATTTATGATTCAGATATTTCATACTAAAAGGAATGTGCAATTTTTTTTCTGTGTAAATAATTCAAATCACTTTACAGAAATATGTTTTCATTTTGACATGAGTCTATTTCTATTGCTCATTTCAAGAAAATAATAATAATCTAACGTGTCAATGTTCTATTGCTGTAAAGCATGCATATTTTAAAAGGGGTGAAAGAGGGAGGGGACTGTTCTGCAAAAGTGTGTAATAGTGGGCACTGTAGGACTAAGCATTTGCTGGATGGTGCTGTTGATTGCCTGAAAAGTGAGATGGTGGGGGGGGGGGGTTGTGATGCTTTAAAGTGCACATTGCTGGATTGAGATGGTGCTCAGGTAAGTATTAAGGGAGGCTGGGCGTGCTGCTGTACACAGAAGCTTTTTTTTTAGCTTCATGCTAGAATGCATGAAGGTTAAAAACCTGGAGCCTTTACAACCACTTTAACATTGGGTGCTACATGTTATATTTTACATAAGCCTGAACTCATTACATCTGCACTCTGTATGCTTTATTGTACATTATATATTCCTAACCAAGGAATCTTTTGTCTAAACAGTCGTAGTTCCGGACTATTTTAATGAAGTTATGGTTAAGGTAAGCTCACTTAGCTCTATATTCTGTGTGCAACATGTAATAGAAATGTTATTTTTTTCTCTATTGTGCTGAGAT